ATCGGAGTATTCGGGATAACAATGGACCAGAAAGGGATTTCATGACTAACAGAGACAACTTACATGACGATGATATTCTCACACCCGCTGACCTCATGACGTTCGCATGGCAGATAGCGAAGGGAATGGTATGATTTAAATGATTGTAGAGATAAATGTGTTAGATTGATACTTCGACCGTCCTATATTAACATATCGCTGGTTTAAGTTCCCGCTGAAAGATATAGCTTTTATTAACAATTTCTGTAGCAGTGACCAAAACGTCCCTTTCTTATTTCACATAGGAGTTTTTGTCAGGTGAAGGATTCGTCCATCGTGATCTAGCGGCGAGAAATGTTCTCGTTTGTGAAGGCAAGCTGGTGAAGATAGCCGACTTTGGATTGTCGCGCAACGTGTACGTTGCGAAAGTGTACCATGCTACAAAGACCAGAAAATTGCCAATCAAATGGATGTCACCGGAAGCTATTCATGATCAAGTATTCACGACAGAGAGCGACGTGTAAGTTAAAAATATCACGTGAGAGGAGTCGGCGAGGTTTCTAATGAGCGGTGAATCAAATCCAAGTTTACCGCTGTGTTGGAAATCTAGTGATTTATATAGGTGCCCAAATAAAATTAGTTTATATCTTCTTCCCTTGTTTTCGAAATTGTAACTATGAAGTTGTACCTATGTCAAATTTTCTAGGTCAACAGTCGAGCTTTGTTTGCTAGAGCGCTTAAAGAAATCGAAACCAGACAAGTCGTTGTTGGGATAAATTTTGGCCACGCAGAATGGCCGATTTATTGATTAAAACTAATATGAAATACGATATAACGAATTATTTGTTTTTCGAACTCGCTGAGTGTGTCAGGTCTGGAGACAAAGAGGACGAACTCGAAAAACATGCCACGTCTTATACCGATCGCTGAAAGCGAAGCTAAGTTATTTTCCAGTGAAACTCGTGACTATTACCAATGAATTCGCTATTGTCATCGAAGCCATAAGATTGTCTTGTCATGGTCTTGTGATTATTGCCCAATCAAGTTTGTACTAGGTGATCCCGTCCCCATTTAGTTCGACCCTTCTGTACTCCCAGCCTTTCCTCATTATCTTAAACTCCTGGTTGAAAATTAACAGTGTTTACAGTAACGACAGAAGCGTGGGTAGAAGCCATAAACGCCTTTTATTTGGTGGCAAATAAAATTTATTTTGGTTCGCAGTTAATCTTTGTGAATAATTTGGTGACAAAAGTTTGCTTCAGGCAAATTTTTCAATTTAGGTAAGGTGCTTAGCTTAATGTATGGTACTCATTTTCTTTTCTGCTTGGAGTTGTTTACCAGTAACCATAAATCTTATAGTGTCATGATGTCATTCATATCAACAGGTGGTCGAATGGTATTCTACTTTGGGAGATTTTAACAATCGGTGAGTAGCATTTCCACTTTCGCCTTGCCAGTTTGGAAGATATATCCTTTTGGCTTCCTAGATAAGTTGATAGAGTGTTACATCTAATTTTCCCTTCTTCTTTGTTTCTAGGTGGGA